CTTCCAGAATTTCGCCCTTTCTACACCAAACCTCCTCAACCTCTTTGTTTCAATCAACAGGGCACAATAAAACACATATTCTAATTCATTACAAAAATTAAAGCATAACTGAATTTATTTCATAATTTTATTAGTTGTTATAATGGAAGGAAACAAAAACACTGCTGAACAAAAAATCAATCAAATTTTTAGAGAAAGTGTATGATAGTATTCTAAAACTTTAATTGAACTAAAACATTATTTTTAGATTTAAAAATAAAATTTTTAATCGATAAAAATGTTGCTTTTCAAAATCTCCATGCAGAAAATTTAAAATAATTTCTCAAAACAACTAGAACTATCATATCGTTAACATATTAAATGTTATACCGATATAAGTTAGCAGAATCTGATAAAACTGCATTTTTTGTAAAATTAAATTATAAATTTGATTAGAAAAATTTCAAAAATACTAAATTATTGAAAATTGAGATATCAAAATATAACCTACATTGATTCGAGCTACTCTTGACCTAAGCCGATGAGTAAAAACGACTTGAAGCAGCTCCAAGTGAATTTTCTCTCTAGAAAATCTCTCTAACTTTGTTGCCCAAAGCAACAGAACAGAGTGAAAAGTAAATTTGGATATTTTTAATATTAAATTTTTTTTTTCTGGCACCACAGTGGCCCGCTTTGCTAGCCGCAATGCTCCCTATAGAATTTATAGCGCTGCCTCCTACGTGCTTCAAGCTGATTGGGTTGAAGACCAATAAAGTCTTGACCTTGGTTCAAGTCTAGGCACTATGACTATTAAGTATGTGTGAGCTGAAACTCTCAGGCATAATTTTTGTTAGAGAGCTGGGTCCCTAGAAACAAGGAATGTTACACTTGATAAGGCCACCTCCCTATTCTAAATGAGTCACTTCGACGAGTTTGATCAATTCTGACCCAACATATCTATTCTTGCTTGCACCCAAATGAAAAATATATACAAAGTTCTCTTCAATCGTACTCATACATCATACTAATTTGCTTATTGCTTTTCGTTGATTTATTGTTCCTAACATGTGTAGTTCAGGTAAATCTTCACTTATTTGGGCCAAGAACTAGCAGGCAACTCCCCATTTTACGATAAGATTCAAAATGAGTAGTGCACGACTACCTTTCAACTGGCAAGAATGAATTTTTATCCCTGTAAGCATATAATGTCTAATGTAAGGTAGTGCCCATCTCACACTATAAAGTCAAAGCAATGCAAGATATAGCCCTAGAAGGAGACTCCCCCATTTATGATAAAATCTACAATAAGTAGCGTGCGACTCGCTTTTAGTCGGGGAGTCCAAGTGTCATCTCTATAAAGACTACAAAGTCTGATGTTAGGTGAGGCTCATCTAAGACGAGTCCATGCTAAGTTAAAATTGTTTGCTCGCAAACACAACACCTCAAAATTCATCTTTCATCAATTAGTGAAAAGACTTGGTTTTCCTTCATCAGGTGCTAAGGCAAAAACCTCAAGGAATTCATTTCATTCACTAGCTGAGTTATAAACAAATGAATGATATCATATCATTTACACCGGACGTCCCTTATTCATTAATTGAGCTTTCCAAGCATTGTGAGTGGAATTATTTCTATGAAGCAGCCAAGTCAGAGTATTTTCAGCAAATGCTCTTAGGGTGTATTTCAATATTTTAATTACAAAGTTTCTATGGTCATACTCAGTAAAACCTGTTGAGTTTAAACTCATCGACTCCAAGTTTTCTTAGTCAATCCCTTAATCTTATTCAAGAAGATATCCTCATATTTATCATATTATTTAATTTTATTGTTGTAAGTATTAATATATTATTTGATAGCCAAATTATTATTATATTTTTTTACTGAGTTTAATACTAATAGAAATTTGCTAACCATCAATTAGTGAGTTCTATGGTGATCAATTTTTACTCTTCTCATTCATAAATCTAGTAATTTCAAAAGAAGAAATAAAGAATTCGCCAAATGCAGAAGATTGCACAATTGCCATAAAGAGATAAACAAGATAGTAAGGTAAACAAAGAAAACATACAACTCGCCACAAGTGTGAAAAAAACTCAAATTATATTATTTCGAACAGCTTTTACGTAACATGTTTCTTTTATGTAAGGGGAAAAGCTCACTCATCTACAAGAAATATCCTATACAAGGGATCTAACCAAAGTTATGGAGAGACAACTCCTTTCTCTGCTAGTATTGTAGGATGAAGTGACCCCCGACTATAAACTAACTTGATCATGTTTGCTTGAGGAAGCAGAAAATTAGCACCCTGAAGCCCTTAGCTTCAACACCTCCCTAGATATCAAGGAGATGACTTCACTTGATCTACTCTCCCTCCCCTAGGTACTAGTTCCTTCCCCAAGCTCATTTTGGATGTTGAGAATCTTCTCCACCTGGTTGGCTTGCTATGAGAAAACACCCAGCTAAGTTGCCCCTCAAGCAGGAGCTTCTGCGCCTAGGTTACTAGTTGAGGTATAAATGTCCGGAGCCATCATGGACGTTATAGGCTGGGTTACGGGAAGATCTTTGGCCGAGGATGATGCCACTTTCTCCTTAGCACGCCCTTCAAGACCTCGACAATCTTAGTTGTTGACTAAGCTTTTGTAGTGTGTGGTGAGCATTATATCACATTGATCGCAACTAGTGAAGTTCCTCATATGGTATAGAGGGAAGGATTAATAAGAGAGATTTTTTTATCTAAAAGAGTCAAAAGAATCTCTAACGGCTTATCATCTAAGTCTAATCATGGTGTATAAGACAAATGCCTATAAGTCAATTCCAATGTGTCAAATGTGTTCAATGGGTATTCTAAGAACCCACTTGAGGTCAAGTGAACTCTTAGCCCGTCCATTATCAATGACACTCGACCCCAACTAGAAAGAACTCTTACCTTCACTGGTCTCATTTTTTCTTAACCTCCTCTTGAACTAGGTTGTGGTTGGCTGGTAGGCTCGACCAAAGGCCAAGTTGTCGCAACTATTATTGCATGAGTCGCCAACCTAGGATATGCACTTTCCCTTGCAAGTGCTTTTACACACCTGTAAGGCCAAGACTCGCCTTGCGTTCCTCACAGTGAAGGGGAAGTCATCGGAGCTCGACGAAAGGATCACCCTCTCTAAGCTTTCCTTTGATGCCATTGCCTTGCTTGATGTTACCTTTAGTAGTCTCCTTCGGAGTAGACACTATTGGCTCGTTTAGTTCTAGGCTAATGGACAAGCTTGCCTCAACAACCACTATCTTCTTATCTGCCAAAAAGCTAGACTTCTTCTCCTCTCCTTAAGCTAACTTGCACTTGTGGAGAAGCACTTTCTTTAGCTTCTATCACTCGCGTTAGCCACTTGCACGGCTTACATCGGTCCTTTGTAGCGGGTTAGTGGAACACACTCAAGAGGCAAAGGAAATATGTGTTATTATACTGCCACCTCTTGCTGCTATTTATAACTTGATAGTTCATCTTATCAAATCAATATCATATTGAAGAATTTCTAAAGTGAGCTCAATATTCGAGGCAACATTAATGACATGGAAATAACTCTTAATCTCCCTTATGTTGTTCGATAAAAATAATAAATACTCATGGTCTTCAAATTACTTTTCCTTTTCCCAACTCGCCTTTTTCATGGATCAAGTGAATTGGTGAAATAAACTTATATCCATACATGCTTATTAGGTTTCTTAGAGATATTTAGTAGATTCCTTCTAATGAACACGATTAAAAGGGTTACATGATCAAAGTGACAATTTTCTGAAGAAGGCGTGACCCTGTAAGTCTGTACATCGCACTAGCCCGCCCATGGAATAACAACCACTCTCCCTTAGAGAGGTCTCCTAGGGCAATTGATCACGGATGTGGTTGCTCTTAGCAAGTTACTCTAAATGACTCATCTAGATTAGCCCATAAGTATCACTCAACTAATCTTGCTCCCCCCGCAACAACTATTTGTGACCATGGTCATCTGCCTATCGTAGACGTACCCGATCAAGCTAAAGGAACTGTATGCCTATGAAGTTATGAGTATGACTTCTCCAGCCAGACTCGTTCTTCGATTGCAGCTACCCTTTTCCCGGGTATTCACATCTAGTTCTTGAGATTCGGTGTTTATTTATGGAAATTCACCCCTTATTCTATGGACTCACTGGCACTGATTCACTCTTGAAAATTGGCCCAAGACACTCACTTTAGAGGAGGGGGCCACATCATTGGAAAAGATTCATGTGTATGTTGATTAATTAGTATATGTGTTAGTGTCAGGTTGTAACAATTACTTTATATTTCATTTTTATATTTTCTTATAGGTGTAGTCATTCTTGTAACCGACTTAATCTTAGAAATAAAAGGTGAAAACGCATACTTTGAATCCTGTGTTGCTGTTGTGTTCCTCTCCGAGAGTATGGCTTTCTATAGAATCTCCATACACATTAGATTTGATTTTTTTTGTTCTATCCTGCTAATAAACTGCTAGTAGGTTTTTTTGTCATCTATGGATAAATTTGAATAAAAAAAAATTTGATATTTTTAAATTTTACGAAGTGCAATCTTTATTTACTCAAGAGAAATATTCCCCAGACAAGCAATTTAAAGACAATGTTGAAGAAACGTCGATACTGTACTGATGGCAATCAGCTTAAATGCATTGTATCGTTTTGAAATGTGCATTGTATCATTTTTGAGATGTACAGATGGTCATCAGTACAGTTTAACCTTCAATGCATTACTCATGATTTTATTGAATCTGAAAAACTTGGCATTTGGCCTGAGAAATAAGGTGGTATGCTTTTATGGATGTGAACTTTAAATGGCATTGCGATACTCGATCAACTTGGGCATTTCCTTATGTCCATAGTCTTTCTTAAATAATCATATCACTAGTTGAGGTTTTTGGATATTCTGTTTAATTTTTTATCCTTTTTTTTTCATCTTAAAAAGGGTAATCAATCACATGAATGCTATCATTATTAACAGCATTCTTATCATTCATGCAAAGGTCTCAAGTGCTTACAAGCCAATAACTGGGCTGCGGCTGTACCTAGAGGGTTCGAAGTGCAACCAGCTAGCTCTACACATACAGCACCTTTCTAGCCTCCCATGCATGTTTGAATCAGCCATTTCCTCCAGACTTTCTAAGTGGCAATCATCAGAAGACTCAGCCCCAGGATTTATTGAGCCAATTCAATGGAAGAGCTACTCCCGCATCTGCACCGCTGCTGTAAAGCACAATCCCAAGTGGTTTGAAAAAGTTTCTGATGGCGTCTTTGTGGTCACTGGTGCTCAGCTTGTGACGAAGGGAAAATGGTTGAAGAAATCCCTCCACCTTCGTCTTCTTTTCACTCACATCCCTAACTGCACCATCCAAAAGACTGAATGGGCTCAAACACCACCAAATTCTTACAAAGGAAGTTTTTTCTCAAACATCAGCACAACATTGGGTTCGACATTCACTGGTCATCGAAATCCTACCTCAGTGAAGCAGGAATCTTCAACAACTCTAAATTCCGGTGTTTTTTCTGATGGCCCACCTGTACCAGTACAATCTAAGAAGTTGCTGAGATTTGTGGACATGACTGAGGTTGTTCGAGGTCCAAACAATGTGCCTGGCCATTGGCTAGTTACTGCAGCAAAGCTAGTCAACGATGGGGGTAAGATAGGCTTACAGGTTAAGTTCGCATTGCTAAATTTTTCTGTGACAACTGATAAAGAATCCTTTTGTAAAGTGTGAGGATTTTCATTTGTTCTGTAGAGATTACTGTCTTTGTTGAGGATATTAGGCCATTTTAAAATGCATATTGTAGTTTTCAACGTATTTTTCAATATTCATGTACAGAACAGAAGAGAGTCAGTTTGCAATAGCATGCGAATATTTCATGTTCACCACCTCTGTGCTTGCTCGGGAATAAGTGTTGCTATGTTCTCATCACTGTTTATGGCTAGCCTGTTTTGATAAGAAACTTGGAAGATCTTTTGGTTGGAAAATAGCATTTTGAACTAGTTCCCAGTGTTTGAAATATTATTTGGTCCTCAAACATAAAATTATATTTCAAATTAATATAATTTTGATCATCTTGATTTTTATTTTTAAACTTTTCTAAAATAAATTTATGACAGGGTTTTGATTGATGTCAACACTGGTGCTCAACATGTGTGAGCCTTGCGGCTCTTGAAAAGACCAACACAGCGACGCTTTAATTGCCCTAAAAATTGAATTTGCTTTGCGCTTAAAGGTTGCATCGTGGTGCTCTATTATTTCACAAAAAATTGAGAGCTCATAGTCGCGGTGCTTCATTTTTGTTCTGCTATCGGAATGATCTAATGTAGCAGTATTGGGTTCTCATGGTGTTGTGGCGCTAAATTATTCTCAAAATTTCAAAAAGCATGATACTGCGATGATGGATGGTCGGCATTGCAGCGCTATGGGGCCATTTTGACACAATGGCATTGGTTCCTTTAGTGCTGCGACACTATTAAAATATAAATATATAAAGTAGAGAGCATTGTGTCACTTAGAGGAGTAATTATTACGTCCGGACATCGAATGTGTTTAGAGACTAATACCTACGCGCCACGTCACCTGGAGCTTGGTATTGAGCACTCGGTATTGCTCGGTATATGTCTGGATTTCTGATTTTTTGACCGGATGTAATAATTTTTCCACTTAGAGATTCAGTGCTACGGCGCTGAGCTGATATTTCTATACATGTTTTTGACACAAGCTAAAATCTATTGTAACTTTTATCAACGTCTATTTAGCACACATCACACATGATCAAAGGAAGTTCTAATTATAAAATTAAACTATCATCACACATCATTTTAGCACCTTAACAAATTCTAATTCACACACGAATAACAAACATGAATCAACATGTACATCTTAAATATGACCTTAGCTCATTCTAATCACACTATTGAGTAATTTGCACAAATCAAACAAGCGCAATATAGATTTGGTTTGCCTCCCAATGAATGCTAAGCTTATAATGTTCAGCTAGAGTATGCCAATTCTCCTATTTAGGATGAGCAAACTCCACTTAACTCCTAAGGAAATTTATTTCCCCTCTTAAGTATGTCTTTAGTCTCTAACCTTTGACTTCGAGTATTTGGGTGGTCATGTTATTCCTTATGTCTATAATTCTATAAGAATATTGTTGTAGATCAAAACCTGCAATGAAGAAATAACAAGACAAACAATAGATAGAACAGTGATTCTATATTGTAAAATGTAAAAACTGTCTTCTCCTTCTTCTACAATCTGCTAATATACCTATCTTCCTTCTCTCCTTTCGGTATTCCCAAACGGGGACTGCAACAAAAAGTATAAAGCTGTACTATAAAACTAACTAAAGTAATTTAACTAGTGGCCACATGCTATACTAGTGATAACGGTATAATAAAAGGAAGTGTTGGTAAGATAAAATAATCCTCAGGTGCACCAAACTAGTGATGCACCGCATCATTCGCCCCCGCCGTGAGAAGAATCAGAGTGTACCGATTCGACGTTAGTTGGACTGTCATCTGGCAGAACATAAGCAAAGAGATCAGTAACGTTAAATGTGTGAGATGTAGTGAACTCGGCCGGAAGATCGACGACATATGCATTGTCATTAATCTTTTTACTGATAGCAAACGGTCCCCACTTCCTCTGGCTTAATTTAGATTGAGGACCTGGTGGCAATCTTTCCTTGCGTATGCGAACATACACCAAATCCCCCGGCTGGAAAATTTGTTCCCTGCGGCGTGTATTAGCTGCTGCTTTGTACATTTGAGTTGAATTCTATAGCTTAAGGCGTACATCCGAGAGCATTCGGACGAATTGATCCACGAATGCACCCGCTGCTTTACTTTGGCTTTTAGGAAGGACTGCAACGTCAAGGACAGTGTTAGGCAACTTAGTATAAACAATGCTAAACGGACACATACCGGTAGACCGATTAGTCATCGAATTAAATGTGAATTCCGCTTGGCACAAAATGTCATCCCATAACTTAGGATGCTCTTGGACAAGGTAGCGAAGTAAGTTGCCAAAGGTTCTGTTGACCACTTCGGTCTGCCCATCTGTTTGCAGATGATAAGCCGAACTCAACTGAATTTGGGTACTCATGCGTGTCCACAATTCCTGCCAAAAATGGCTTAAGAATTTTACATCTCTGTCTGAAGTGAGACTTCTAGGAATACCGTGAAGACGGACCACCTCCTTAAAGAAAAGCTTGGCAATATTGAGGGCGTCAAACGTCTTCTTGCACGCAATAAAATGAACCATCTTCGAGAATCTATCCACCACGACCATAATGGAATCATTGCCTCGCTTTGTTCGTGGAAGTCCCAACACAAAATCTAAACTTAAATCTTCCCAGATAGATTCCAGTAGAGGTAATGGTTGGTACAAACCGGTATTTTGCCCTCCTCCTTTATAGCTTTGACATACCGTGCACTGTTGTACAAATTTAATCACATCCCGACGAAGGTGAGGCCAGAAAAATCGGGATTGTAACTGTGCAATGGTGTTATCACACCCCATGTGTGCTGCCAATTCACCGGCATGCGCTTCCTGGATGATACATTGCTGCCAGGAGGACTTTGGCATACACAATAATCCATTTTTGAACAAAAATCCTTCCTGTATGGAGTAGTTTGCTACCAGTTCCCTGTTTCTGCATTTGGACCATATTTCATTGAAATAATTATCATCAGAGTATAAATCTTTTATGCATTCTAAGCCCGAAAGTGTGGTTTGTAGTTGGGTTAAAAGAGCAACCCGCCGGCTTAAAGCATCAGCTACCCGATTTTGGTTTCCACTTTTGTGTCGCAACATAAAAGTAAATTTTTGTAAGAAGATGACCCAGCGAGCGTGCATCCGATTAATGTTCTTTTACGTGTTGATATACTGAAGGGCCTTGTGATCACTAAAAAGAACGAAATCTTGATGCAACAAGTAGTGCTCCCATTGTTTCAATGCTCGGATAACGACATATAGCTCATGCTCATATGCAGTCCATTTCTGTCTATACGGGCTTAATTTCTCGCTGAAAAATTCAATCGGCTTGTTGTCTTGAGACAATACTACACCAATTCCCACCATAGAGGCGTCAGCATCCACTGTGAAGGGCTTTTTGAAATCGAGCAATGCCAAGACAGGTGCGTTGGTTAGTGCCGTTTTGATTATGTTGAATCTGTCATCACTGCTGTTGAACCAATCCAATCCGAAGTTCTTAAACCCAATGACCAGTTTTTCTCTGCGCCCACAGTGTTTGAGATAGAAACTTTTATGATGCTCTTCGGTCTAGGAGAATTGTGACTGCTTGAGAATGTCAGTGATCGGTGCCATGATCACACTGAACCCTCTAATGAAATGACGGTAGAAATTCGCCAATCCATGAAAGCTACGAATATAAAAAAAATTGCGAGGTTCCATCCATTCTCGGATGGCACTAATCTTCCGTGGATCAACTTTCACCCCTGCAGCCGAAATTAAGAAACCAAGAAAAGCTACTTGAGGAGTTGCGAACTCACATTTGAGAGTATTCAAATAAAGCTTGTTGTGCCGCAAAGCCTCAAAAATCATCGTTAAGTGTTTCAAGTGATCTTCCAATGTCAAGATGAAGACTAATATGTCGTCAAAATATACGACACAACACTTATTTAAAAATGGCTTTAAATCTTCATTCATTAGCCTCATAAATGTTGCCGGAGCATTGCACAACCCAAATGGCATGACTCTCCACTCGTATAGGCCTTGACGAGTTTTAAATGCTGCCTTCCACTCGTCGCCAAGACGAATCCGGATTTGATGATAACCACTCCGCAAATCCAGTTTGGAGAAAATTTGTGCACCTGCCAGTTTATCCAACATATCTTCCATGCGCGGCATCGAAAAATGGAATTTAACCATGATCTTGTTTATAGAGCGGCTGTCAATACACATCCTCCAGCTGCCATCCTTCTTGGGCACTAACAGAGCAGGCATTGCGCAAGGACTGAGGCTGTGTTGGATTAACTATTTCTCTAACAACTCATTGACAATTTGCTGTAAGATCTTGTGCTCGTTCGGGCTCATTCGATAGTTCGGCAGATTAGGCAATGTTGCTCCCAGAGCCAACTCAATTTGATGTTGAATGGTTCTAACAGGGGGCAATTCAGATGGTAATTCAGGTGGTCCAGTGTTTGCGTATTCCTGTATTAACTGACTGATGCAGCTCAGTATGGACTGAGACTCTGTGGTGGTGTTCTGTTCTAAGATGACTAATGCCAGAATACAGTCTGAGTCTTTCCAAGCACTAAGCAGGGCTTTACGAGTAACAGCAAACAGTGGAGTCTTTCCGCTAGGTGGACTGTTATCCTATTCCTGAGAGCGCATCAACAGTCTTAGCTTCTTACCCTTCCAATCAAAGGTATAAGTATTTGCTCGGCAGTCATAGATTGCTCCAACATCAAATTGCCAATGTTGTCCAAGAATCAAATGGCACACATCCATATCTACTACGTCACATAGAATTTCACTTACGTAGTGTCGGCCAATAGATAGGGATACCTTGCACATGTCTTTCACCGCAATCTCTATCCCCTTCCGCACCCAACTTATCTTATATGGATCGGGATTGGGTGACGTTTTGAGTTGTAATGCTTGAACCACAGAGCGAGAAATAACGTTTTCGGTACAACCACTGTCGACGAGTAAATCACAAACCTTCCCCTTGATCATGCCTTTAGTTTTGAATAAAGCATTACGTTGAGTTCGGACAAGTCGCCGTGGAGCAATGAGCAATTTTTGTAGCACACAGACTAGAGGTTCACCTTCATTACCCGCCACATCTTCTTCATCCACATCCACCTCCACATTGTCACCGTCTAGTTCATCTTCTTCTTCGCCATCCAACAGT